AAGAACATTTCTCATCCGAATTAGTAATCGGGTGTGGGAATCAATAGCAACAAACATACCTCTCACAGGAACTTGTTAAACACATGCCTCATCAGCCACGGATATGGCCTGATGGAGTCCTTCCAACGCCCGGTCGATGTCATCGAGCGGTTTCGATGTTTCTGCACACCATTCATTCGAATTGCACCCAGTTGCCATGGTGGTAGACTTTACGCAGGCAGCTTCTAGCTGCAACTACGTTGACACTGACTTCAGGCACCACCAGTTAGAATGATACCCTGAACACATCGTTAAGCAAAATAACCATAAGAAATTTATTAGGATAGTTTTTTTTTTTCCTTTATTTTAGAGATTTTTAGCCATAGGCTAGTTCATCTCTAATTCGAATAGGATAGTCTTATGTTCGACCGGAAAAAGCCCAGGGTGGAGAGATTTCCCGCCGGAGAGATGAAAGTTGGTTCGTCCGGAAACAGCATAGTGTACAGGCCATGTTGTGCGTGGTCGAACAGTAGACATTCGTTCTGGTTCCGCTGGTAGTTCCGCCAAGCTTCATGGCGGGCATTCAGCTCGCCCCCAACGATAAATCAGGAGCTAGTACGAGTGATGGCGGTCAGGTCGTTGAATTGGCTTGCTAATCTGTTGTTGGCGGAACACTGCCGAGTTCAGTAAACAACGATGAGCCTGACATTTCCAGTTGGCAATTCCACCTCCACACCAAGATCCTCGATGATAAAGTGTGAACTTGATTCCTTTCTTGACGACGAACGCAACGCCACCACCCCTGGAGCACCCCCCCCTCCCCCCGCATGATGACCTTACCGAGCACTTGGATCTGCTCTTGCTTTTTTGCGGCACCGGTCACGTTGACGAAGATTTCGGGGTTTTTGTTTTGCGATGTTAGTTGTCTCCAGAATCTGGGGGGGGGGGGGTATTTTTGTCCAGCAAAATCACCGGAAGTTTCTTGATGGGGGCGGGTTGCACCTGAGAATTCGCTTGCCTTTGTTGAGGAGCACGAGAGGCGGGAAATCTTCCGTCCTTGCGTCCTAGTTGATTGTTGGTTACCGCCTGCTTTCGGATGCGTTTAAAGTTCTCGCGTTTGAAGTACTGTCTGTCAGAACCTTGATGACCACCCCCACCGTGCGTCCAAAATTGAGTCACCACTGTGTTATGTCACGATGGCCGCCACGGTATGGCTGCCCGCGTACGATGATGGAATAAGAGTTGTCCAGCAGTGCTCCCATTTTATTTAAATAAACCAATACCTACGAGAATGTAATGTGCCGAGGTTGTGCTGATGATTGTGCCCAATCTGCTGAATCTCACACACTGTGCTGAGTGACAGTGTCCATGGGAAGGACAGTAAATCTGAGTTGCTACACAGTAAAGAAGCGTTCAAAGAGGTTTAATCGTGGTAATGGTACTTTTACAAAGTTGCTAATTTTAACCACCCCTCATATCTATATTTCCGGAATGTGACCCTTATTTCCGGAGCCAAAAACCAATTCCAATCAAAAGTTCGTTCCATTTTCCTCTGTATAATGGAAAGGAATGAATGAGCATTATCGATTTTTTGGTGCGTAGTTTATTTAAATAAAGCGTAAGAAATAATAAATTTTCCGCATGCCGCTCTTCCTGGAAAATATCAAGTCATTTGGTATAATAGAAAAAAGTTATAACTGTTTATGGGTGTGCCATTTCCACGAATACACCTTTTTCAGCCTTAGAATGCATCACATGTTATTTTATTATTTATTGAAAATTACCAAGTTCCCAAAAAATCTAAGTTGAAATGAACTTCCCGAAAGGGTTATAAATGGATCCCAAAATTCTAATTTTCCATCGTCACTCCAAATGTTTGTCTTTGGGCTATGGATGAAATTGCGGTAGAAATGACTGAACTCGTTATTTTACTGTATTGCTTCGTTAGCTCATCTAACATAGGTAGAGCAAACAACTGAAAGCACAAACATAAACTAACTAACTAGCATGGCTAATGTGCAGGTCTATGGTTCACATCTCTTTGTAGAAAACTGCACTTGCTGCCGTTCTTATTGGCAGCAGCACTCGTCCATACCGGAAACTACCTGCTTGGTGTCTAAAAAAATCCATTCCAATAACGATAAAGACCGTAAACTCTGCCCGGTGCAGGAGCACTTTAATCAAAACTTTAAATTAGAATTTGCGTCGCACTTTTATCTCCCTCCTAAAATTCGAACTCCGAAAAAAAAAAACATTCCACCACACAATGAGGTTCTTCTTGCAGGCTTGCCTCGTTTGGTTCCTACATGTCTACATAGGTTTTTCGCTGGTAAATCCTGTTTAGCAGAAGAGGGGACACCGAAACTAGTTCTTTACCGTCGTGATCGCTCCGGTACGGAAAAAACCGGAAAACAGGATTACACCTATCTTCGCTCGTTTGGTTTGCAAACACTCACCGATTTTTTTTTGCCTTCGTCCTTGTCGTCCTTCTACTTCTGTGTCCTGGATGCATTATTTCATTCAATTTGTTTGTCTCATTCTCCCGGTTCCCTCTGAGCTCGCAGGATCTTCAAATGTGTCAGGAAGGCTCAAGGATACGAACCATGCCATACCAACCAACAACAAGGGAGCAAGTATTCTAAATTTAGTTCAAAACACTCGAAATCCTTTCTCTCTCCCTGTGTGTGTGTGCTTGGGCGAGTCGTATATGAACGACGAAAGTCGCGTCTCCTCTGATCCGCTGCTCTCTCCATCGATGCCAATCTACGATTGCAGAACTCCGTCGACAAAGAGGACGGCGGCAGCGGCAGTGGCGACGTTGGCAGGAATGAAATGAATCACAATCAGACAAATACTTCCTCGCCCCGGTTTTCTGGCAATCCGCTTACCTATGAGGACCGGAGAAGGCTGGCGAGGCGGGCTACAAAAGGAGATCCTGGAATCACGTGGACGTTTGGAACCTTATACATACGATGGGACGGGAAGCATACAAAAACTATTATTATTTAAAATAAGTTGAATTTCAAAGTGGAAATTGTATGCGATCCATGGTTGTAAACGGTCCGCGGCAAAGGTTCAAGTAGAAAGTTCAAACAACTAGTTCGATGGCCAGCGTGTTCATAAACGCCACCGCCGCCACCACCGTGTGCCCTCCTGTCCACTAGAGCTGGTCAACTTTTCGGAGTCGCCAGCAGGTCTCCCTTGTCTAGAACACGTGTAGTGGTGTAAGTGGAATCTCCCTTGGTCTGAATTCGCGAACAGGGAAAAGCAAAAAAACCGTACCAGGGCATTAATTCATAAAATGATTTTTCATTCTATCCAAATCTCGCGAAGGGGATGACACAGTCAACGGTGAGAGGAGACGAACATAACATTCCAATCGCAATAAATATATTGGTTTCTATGCCTCTCGATTCGATTCTCGAATGGATCTATGCGCTTTAGGTTCTGATTTTTTTGCTTCATTATGGCACATCGCATTGGGTTGACCTTAAACCATTGGATGCGCGTCGTATTATGGCAAGAGCGGACGGTTGAAATGCGGCAACGTTGCACGGTTGTTTTATGGCATGCGAGCGAGAGCACGATTACCCGAAAGCGGGGGTTGATTTTAGCCACGCCTCTTCTCGTTGTGTGGATGTCTGAGTTTGCGTTACCTCGTCGTGAGAAGCGGAATTCCGAGATTACGGCGAGCCAGTCTGTCTACTACGGCAAACGGGTCCGGTGCGGGTATGTGTGTGTGTGTGTGTGTGCGTGTGATGTTTGTCGAGGCTTGGTTTGCTTCGAAGAGCGTGTAATGGGAGAGAACGCCGACACGGGCAGCATATTAATCAACCCACACATAGGTACATATGCTACGATTGTAGCATAACTACGCATTCCGCTTATGGTGATGTAGGTAGGTAGGTTGGTTGTGATTGGTTCGTTTGGGGTCGACAGGCGCGGCCGCTTCGGGCAATTTACGGTAGTGGGGGTAGATTGGCAGAGTTTGCTTTGGTTGAGCTGTTGGATGCTATCAGGTTTTCCCAAGCGCTCATAGTGAAACAGAAGGGTGCTCAGTTCACAGCTGTATAGAGGCATTTTTGCGGCCGTTCTCGTCGCCAGTTTGTGTAGCGCAGTTTTGAAATCGTTTCCACTCTAGAACCTGAAGTAAAACGGCGGTTCGACGGTTCCACGTTTCGTTCCGTGTATAAGCAAGCACCTAGAAGGGTTTAACAGCGCTTTCTCGGTTTAATCAGTGCAAGGATTTCGATCAGTGCGATGCGTCGGGGTTTCGAATCTCGTTAAGGGAAAACTATCATCTTCGAACACACGTCGGTGCGTCGGTGAAGAGATCGTGAAAGTGAGTGACGTCCGCTCGTAGTGCGCCGAGTGCCGATGGTCAATGAATTGTTCTCCTCTCGTGTGCGTATTGTTGTTGTGTAATGATTATGATTATTTCGGTTTTTGTACTATCGATCAATTGAATTGGCGCACGGACCCGGTCACCGCCGAACGTAGTAGTAGGTGGGGTGTGAGCGTCGAGGTACATAACAATAGAGAGCGAGACAGTGAATCGAAAGTGTGAGTGAGACAGCACGTGGGGCAAAACAAAAGAAAAACTACTAACAATAGATCCCGGCCAATGGTAGTGAAAATCCAAAGGGGGTGAAGGTTTCAATTAACAAAGAAGCAATTGTTTGAATTAAAGTTGCGAGTTTAAAGCCGAGTGTCAGTGACCAGAAGATTCTGGCAACGGAGGGTGAAACAGTTTGGTGTCGGGAGGAGGCGAGCTCTAAATCAAGAATGATGATTATTCGTGGGCGAAGAAGAGCATGTTAAATGTTTGTGGATTTATCTATGTTTGGATGATGTGTGTTGTTTTCTGTGGGGATCAGCGGTACTGAATAATTCAGGAAGACTAACGTTTTCGCGTTGCAGCGGTTACGGCTTATAGGATTAAATCCGTTCGCGGGTGTGTTTGTGTGTATATTTTTTCCCGGTGGCTTTTAACTGAAGACCTTCAAACTGTTTGCGTACAGGCAAAGCACCGCCGACGATATGCTGACCATGGAGTCTGATATGAAAGGCGGCATACTGCACGCCACAATGCCGCCACATCATGCGTCCTCCCTGCACAGCCACTCGACGTCACCGTACGGGGCGTTGGGATCGCTGAGTATGATGAACATCGGACAATCACAGCTGGGTCATCAGGCGCAACATCTCAGTCATCAGCAGCATCTGTCGTCGCATAACAACAACAGTAGCTCGTACGGACAGACCCATACCAATCCGCATGGTTCCCCGTTGCAGCCCGGTTCCGGACTTAGTCCGAATGGGCCATCGCAGGCTTCCCAGCAACAGACACCGCCCACGACGGGACTTGGTAATCATCACATCACCTCAACCGGTCAGACCCATGGTCATATGGGAGTCACTGTCAATCACAATAATAACAACACCAGCAAGGCGGCACAACTGAATGCCGATCGGGTGAAGCGACCGATGAATGCGTTTATGGTGTGGTCACGCGGTCAACGCCGGAAGATGGCTTCAGACAATCCAAAGATGCACAATTCGGAGATTTCCAAACGGTTGGGAGCACAATGGAAGGACCTCTCGGAGACGGAGAAGCGTCCATTCATCGACGAGGCAAAGCGATTGCGGGCGGTCCATATGAAGGAACACCCGGATTACAAGTACCGTCCACGCCGGAAGACGAAGACTCTGACTAAAACCAAGGAGAAGTATCCAATGGGGGTGGGTTCGCTGTTGCAATCGAGCGAAGGCAATACCATTCGGAATAGCAACACAATCTCGGCGGCACAGCAAGCGGCCGTGGCGGCAGCAGCCAATCGTGATATGTACCAAATGCCTCCCAATGGCTACATGCCGAATGGTTACATGATGCACGATGCTTCGGCCGCAGCGTATCAATCACAGTCACACTACATGAGCAATTATCATCGCTACGACATGGGCCAAATGCACAACGCTGCCTCGACGGGATCGCTGAACTCCTACATGAATGCAACCAGCTACGGAATGTACGGCACCGTGTCCGGTGGGCAGACATCTCCCTACGGTCTGCAGCAACCGGGATCACCATACAATACAATCCAGCAGCAGCCAGGATCGCCGTACGGTTTGAACCAACCCGGCAGCCAAATTTCCTGCCAAAGTCATAGTCCCAGTGATTCCAGTGTGAAATCCGAACCCGTGTCACCTAGTCCTACGTCCACCAACAACAACCTAATAATGAAACGCGAGTACGGGCAACCTGCCGGTCCGGATCTGAGCCATCTAATCAACATGTACCACGTGCCAGACATGCAAAGTGCAGAACATCAGCGGAATTTGATGCAACACTACCAGCATAGTGCGTCACCCGAACTACAGGCTCAGCAGCAGCAAGTCCTCCGGACCATGGCACCCATCTCGCACATGTGAGACTTAGCCAGTTCCGTTGGTCTCCAGTCCGTAACCTCATCATCACCGGCAGCGCTGGCACCGCCTTTATCGCCGGTGCTCAATACCGGAACTGGTCCGCCAATGTTCCACAGCCATCCGGGGGCACCGCCCTCGCAGTCGTCCTCATCCTCGTCCTCGTCACCGCTATCGGCCTACCGACATCATCATCACCATCACCACCATCATCATCATCTCAGCAATGGTGGTTCTGGTCTTGGCACCGCCGGTACCGGTGGCTCCAGCAGCAGTTGTAGCAGTCTCAGCCTTGGCCATAACCTCAACGCACCGTCATCGGTGTCACCCACGGGAACCGAAGGCGCCAGTAGTCTAGGACATCATCAGCTTCATCACATCAGCAATTGCGTTAGTACCGATAGAACTAATCATTTAATGGACATATCGCCACTCTAATCCTCACTTTGCCACTCCCTGTACGGTCTGATCGCGATAACGTGAACATTTGACCAAGCTCAAAGTCAATTTCGGTTCACTTTGTCGCGTTTCGACCGATCCCCTTACGATACTGATTTCGCTTCCGAAAACGCGTGTACCTTGTTAAGTTTGAATAATTCCTTTCCGATCAAGTCTCGTCGTCATTGAGGAGGAGATCGCTCTCCCCAAGATTGTGAAATGCAAATTGCAAGAGGAACAAAAACCACTGTGTGATATTAATTCTTTTTTTTCCCTTCTCTATCGATATGAATTTGTGCATTTTTATTTGGATTCTCTATTTAGTAGCAATTAAAAGTTGAATTTTCTATTTACTCTGTACTTTTAATTTTTCCCCGTTCCTATACCTAAGGCTCTTAAGTTTTTCGCCTCGTAGAATCCGTTGTTGTTAGTTGATTAATTTTGTACCTCCGCAAAATAAAGCTTAAATCACCGAAAGTAACAGCAAAACAGAACTGATATAAATCTACTGAGAGCAAGCAGAAACAATCCAATTCATAGCTGTGTTGAGCAGAGAAGTGTCGTGTACATATAGGAGAAAACCAGCCCAGTTAGTCCGCCAGTTTTAGAAGAAGAGTTGCCATAAAGTAATTAGCAGGTCAGTGCAGAGTCTCGTCGTCGGTCGGTAGTGACATAAAATTATGTTGGAACGCCCCTACCACTTGAAAAGGTAACCAAATTTTTCGGATATTTAGCTTTAGGTATAAAAGTGCGTGTGAAATGCACTCTGGCACTCGGCGGTCGGTGCTGACCAGGCAGAATTTTGGTCGAACGAATAAAAAATCGGCCAACAGCTGACAGGTAAATTGAATTAATTGCTATTTGTTCAGCTAAAGACGAACCTGCTGCTGCTGCTGTTGCTGGAGCTGATGGTGGTGGTGGTGGTGGTCTTTTGTTCGCCCATCATCCTGCTGCTGCCTGAGTGTAGTTCGATAAGCGTCAAGGATTTTTTTCGTTTTCTGAAAATCATTCAAAATAATTTGAGAGAGCTCGTCGGAGAGGTGAAACTTTTAATTCTTACGGTTCCCCCTTCGTAGTAACGTGCGCTAGGTTCAGTTTAAGGAGAAATTCGCGGAAAATTGTTTTCGGAAAGTTTTTTTTTTACCCCGTAAGAGGGCATTTAATAATTAATTAGTGGTTGCCCTTGGAAGGTGGCTTCGTTAGCGGCTGGTCCGTGTCAGTGTGAGCTCGCTTCCCGGAGGTGGCCCAACTTTGTACGTTTTCGAGAGCAGTTTCGTGAACTTAATAATAGAACCTGAAAGAACCTGGATTCCGATTACTAAATTTCACTGTAACAGTGAGTCGTAGCTTTTAAATTAATCCCGAGGTTCCGTATTTGAAACCAGCAGCTCACCGGCTACCGGTAGTTAGTTTGCGCAAGCGGGGGAAAGTTATAATCACAGATTTTATGTTGATTTTAATTAAAAAAATTGGTGCGCGAGGCAGGCAGGAGACTTGCGCGACTACCAAAGACAACGAACTTTTTGATTGCAGCACCCAACCGATCGCGCAGTCGGCTTTGGAAGCGGAAAACAACAGGGGAATCGATCCCAAATTTTACGAGTGACAATTTTATGAGCCCATTAACGGCACCTCGCTCGCAAGCGACATATATATGTGTAGGGCCCAATATAGCTCGAGGGGTGAAATTGTTTTGGGAATCTCGTCGTTCAGCGTCATTAAAATTGTCTCGAAATCGGTGTGATTTCTACTTTTTCCATCAAAAACAAAATGCGTCACTTCGCTCGCTCGCTCTCCATCCCTCCGCGCTAGTTCGCGCTCTAATTAATGTGTGAAAGATGTTAGAAATCGATCGGTCGTAAAATTAAACCAGAAATTATTTTAATCCCTTTCGATTGTTGCCCACTGGGCATCGATGCTCGTTCGCTTTTTCCACAAGCGCAATCCACCGGTCGCGATTTGCATCAACCAACAAATTTTATCAAACCATCCGAGAGGGACTGATATTTCTATTTAAAAAAAACTAAGCCATCACCATCATCATCATCATCACTTCATTAGGTCCAAGTGATCTGGTGTTGATTATGGGCTTCTTCGGTTCTCCACACTTGCAGACCAAAAGTAGAAGAAGGCCACTGGAGGAGGGAGAGAGAGAGAGCCTAAGATCATTAAGTGGAAGCTTCTCCCGACCGACCGACCGACCTTCCGACGGTGTGTTCTTGGAGCTAAAGGTAGCTCCCAGCAGCAGCGGCAGCCATGACAAATGAGTGATATTTACCTTTTTCTCACCCATAACTAAGAAGAGAGCTCAACTTGGGCCGTCGGACGGTTTTTTTTTCTCCGGTTGGTCTCGTTCTGGACGGCGGTTCATTAGCAAGCCCCGGCTAGAGAAATGATGACTCTTTCAACTTGGGTCTTAATTCTCATTTTGGGTTGTTGGGAAATTAACGCCCTTTTCGTGGTGTCGGGAGCGGCCGTATGCACCACGGGGTCCAATTCACAGTTTTATTATGGGGAATGTCGTTCGAAATTAATTTTCAATGGTTTCGGCCACTAGTGCTTCAGTGTGATATGTGTTTAAGGAGTCATGCGATAGTTATGTGTACGCAGTTTTTTGGGATTTTAAAAGTTCAGTGCAATGTTTAGAACAAATCTGTCAAAATTAGTTGTCAAAGTTTACAATTCTAGGTAGAGCTGGAATAAGACCGTAAAAGCTTTTGTAAACAATGACTTCTCTCGATAATTTCTAGGAATTCAAGGTACGTCCACACAAACCAACATAACCCTTGGGTAGGGGAAGTCGTCTGTGGGCGAGCATTGACTTTCTAGATATCATCGATGGAAGCCATTGTTTACAAAAGCTGTTACGCCCTAATTCCAGCTCTATCTCCAATTCATTCAGCAATTATTATGTAAATTATGTTATTTTCACTTGATCACCGTTGAAAGATTCGCAACTAAATTTGTCGCACTTCACGTGAAAATGCAGAAAATTGCAAACAACACTTTGACAGCTGTATTTTTTACTGAAGAGATCCGTAAAGATTACCGAGCTTCAGCGATTTTTACTGTGTTCTTCGGTATTTTTAATTTCTTTACTGAAAATCGGTAAAACGTTTACCGAACAGATCAGTATCATGACATTTTATGATTTACAAATTTAATCGGTAAAGCAAATACAAATGTTCAGCAATAGTCACATACGGATAACCGAAAACTTGTAGATATGTTACCGATAGTTGCAAATCGAAACAATTTTGCCGATCATACAGCAAAAAATAAGTTTTCCAGATCAATTACGGAATACCAAATTATGAATTTGTTTATGGTGTACATCATAGATTTTATTTAAATAGTGTTTCGTTTAAAACTTTTCACATTAAATGACTAATCTATTAATTGTGAATCTTTCATAAAATTGAAAGAAACATTATCATAAAATCCGGATAATCCGAGTTCTATTTCAAAGAATCTCAGGAGAGAAGAAAATCGTGGGATTCAGAGATTTCCCAGATTCGTTGTTAAGAGTCACGCAAAGAGAAAATGAGCCAAACAGGCAGCACGGTGTGTGAATGATTTTTCATCACCGTTAACGGAAACCATAGTTTTTCTCTAACATCGAAAGACTTGGATTCAGACGTGAAATATGTCATGTAGGCATGCTGCGTTGATAATAACCTTCATGGGACCGAAGCAATTTCACTCAAAATGCTTGCTAGAACTTATCACTAAATGATCAATCACTTAATGCAAAATAACTGAAATATTTTCAATTCCACCAGAATTCTCTGAATTCTATTTCAGGTTTATTCTAGAATTCTCTGAATTCCAAGTGGGAAATCTCTGGGTCGATGTTAATAAGAGTCACGTAAAGAATTCAACCAGACCCGTGCAAAGTCCAGCATCATAATGACAGCAAATCGAAATCAAATTTTGATATCTACATCAAACTGAAATCACAATTTGATTTCAGTTTGTGCGATTGACATATTTGATGATAAATTTTGTCTTCGTTTTGCTGTACATTTGTTTTCAAAAATTGTCGTTACAGTGTTGTTTTCATTGTCTTTTTTTTTCCTTTGGTTTGTTTTCCGTGCTGAGCACCAATGCTACCGACACCAGGAAGGCAGCTGCCACACCTGGACCCTACCTATCGACCCATCAACTCATGAACCGGGGACCAACGTCTTTACTTCCCTTCCGAAGGAAGGCGTGATCAGAGATGTTATGCCTCAGAACATCCCGGCGGCGCTACTGGGATTGAACCCAGGCCTGCTGTTTTTCATTGTCTTAGCAGAACATAAAATTTAATATTTGTTTTGTTATCACAGGAAAAATGTACTTTAAATTGAGTTTGCAAGTTGCTCTCACTAATATCAGAATGGGTTTTCAATGTGATGTCACAAGAAGATTTGTTTGCTCTAAATTTTTATATTTTTAAGCCGTGAAAACGTTTTGGTCGTAACCTGAGTAATCATCATCAGCGACATCACAACATCAGCTTTAGTTTTCAATTTGATCTCAGACTTTGCTCGGGGAAGAACTAATCGAACTGTCCAGCGAGCCAAACAAAGCAAAGATCAGATCAGAATTAAGATAATACCAGATCGAGATTAAGAGAATCCAAACCAGATTTTACCCACCCGCGTATCAGTCTTTTGTTTTTTTTATGATAGGGGCCAACCACCCTCGTTTCAACCGGGGCTTTTATCATCCTTCGTGTTGATTTTTCTGTAAATCTTTACAAAATACAAAATAGAGTTTAAGCGGGGTGCCAACTTTTCAAACTTGTTACTTACTTTTCGATGCGTCGCCATTTCGCATCCCTATCTAGTCGTTAAGGACTGTATCAACACTCTAAAAAAACTGAAAATTACACGAGCTTGAATTTACGTAAGAATCTGATCTGATTTTATGTGCTCATAGACGCACTTCTAAAAAATAAAGGTTGAAATTCAATAATAAACACATCTAGATGTGAAATAGCGTCTTATGACTGAATATCACGTCAGCTTCTGAAAAATATGTCATGCTTTTAAAATTAGGTGTCAAAAAACATAAAATTACATTACTGGAAACTGAAAAGTAAATTCATGACAGATGTTTATGTCCAAATAGATGTAAAATTACATGATGCTTAAGCTCGGCGATAACGAACCTGAAAGCATTTAGTAATGGTTTGATCGTCATCGGCAATGCACGCCGCAGTTTTATCGTGGTACGGTATCGAAAAAAATGAGTGTCTGGTGCAATATATGTGGTTTGGAAATATATGAATTCGCAATTCTTTAAGTGTCCGTTCCGTTTTTCCTAATATTGTTTGCTCAATAATGTCAAAATATTTGTATTAGTTGACTTGTGTTCCGTATAAAATATGAATAACATTGACAGAACTGTTCTGTAAGTTTGGAGGCCAAAATAAAACATTGAATGCACAATCACTGCGTGATCTATCTTATAAGAAAATCAAACCCCTAGCGGAGTAGATCGTTGCCCTCATCTATAAGTTACAATTATGTAATTTTATCATTCCATTGAGAATCAAATTATTGAGTTGAGAATAATTTAAGATTGAATGAATGGGATGGAAATAAGATTTTCTGGATTTTTTTTATTGACGGCGATATGCAGAATTTTTGGGTATACCTCGGATGTGGATTGAGGATGTCTCCGGACAATACACAAATCTAGCAATTGCAGGATTCATTGGTATGGTGAGTATTCTACTGCAATATTACTATACAACAGACAACTTTTGATGTCTTTCTGAATATAGGCATGAGATGGCTCATTACATTTACTAGCCTTTTAAAGGAAAATTATGTCTAAAACGATGTAAAACTGTAGGTTTTTGAAAATTTATTAAAATCAGTAAAAATTAGTACAGTAACTGAAATTTACGTCACGACATGTAAAAATATGTCTTCAGTTTGTGATTCGAGTAAATTTAAGAAAGGACGTAAATTTAGGTCAAGAAGCGGCTTATTCTTTTGAGTACATCTTAAAAGATTTAAATTTGAATGATGTATAAATAGATCACTGGGCGTAAATGCACAGTTCGAAAAGTAGTGTAAATTTCTGTTCAATATGATGCACACAAATGGAGCGTCATATATCATATAAGTTTACATTATATATCATGTAAAGTTCTAGCACAATTCATGCAATGTAGCAAATATTGTATACAAAAGCCCATCTTTGTAAACAACATTGTTTACAAGTTGCTCGGTTGTGTGAAATTAAATTTAAGTTTACGTGAATGAATGTTTACATCACAATTAAAATTCAGAATTTTTATCTGTGTGGGATATAAGAAAATGATGACAATCCGTCAACAAATATTCTTCTAGGGACTAATATCATCTTAGATTTCGTTCCTATTATGAGATTTCGGCCAGTGTATTTTCGTGTTTTTGATCGACGCATCGTTCCAGTATATTGTTGACTACACACTTAGAAATAACTAATTTTACACGTGACGGAATCCGTCTTTGACATAAAAGATGAGACGTAAACAAACATGTCATGTAATATTAAGTGCTCCAAGACAGAAAAGTTCGTTGCTCGATAAAAAGTACGTTTGATTGAGCTATATTTCGCGTCTGTTATGACTCAAATTTACGTCAAAATTGACGCTCGTATATGTCACTCAGAGCACCTAAATTTACATGATATTTTCTAAGTGTGTATTACAATGTTTTGGAAGTCCTAATATGCTTTTGGAGATGCTCTTTATAATTGCCATTTGGCATCAGCAATATCGGCATTCAATAGGTTGTAGTTGCGAACAAGTTGAATTGAAAATCAAAATTTCTATATTTTTTTTTCACTTTTCAGCAAGAATGACGCCAAAAATTGATGTCAAATTAAACCAAATTTTATGGCAAAATTGTGCGTTTTCCAACCTTTTTGATGCTACGGCTACTAACGTCATGAAGAAGTTAAAAAATATACGATGGGTAACGAAAAGCCTGTTCTGTCACACTGTTCATAATTTATACGAGGAGCAAATTATAATATTACAAAAGTACCTAAAACAATATTAATTTATCTGTTTTGTGAAGTAAATTTCTCTAGAAGGACAGAACATAAATAATTGAACAACCTTTTTTTGATTTTACAATATTTTTTATCTATTTGGAATGAAAAATTTGTCCACAACTTATTTTCCATTCAGTCCTTAGTCCCGGTGTGCGGACTATTAGCTGCTATATGGGGTTTGGAAATAGAGATAGCGACCCGTTTGGGGACTCCCATGGCGATACTCTTAACGAATAGGAAAATCGATGAAAAGAATAGATCCATAGTCTTCTTCAGCTGCATTAGTATTGTATAAACATTGCATATTGCTGTAAAAACTGTCAAAATCCTATGAATTTGCTCACTACATTAGTTTTCGTGAGATTCTGCTTAGACATTTATGTACATTGGACTTTTTGCATTGTTCGGCAGTGTTAAAAAAATCATTCTCAAATGATATCCGTTAAACCTCCCTGAAAGAATAAACTCGTGTGGGAATCTGGCAATCACATCTTTGAGATTCTCATGCATTTCACGCTCTCACACTCCCAAATCATCATTCAGGCTTAATACTCATAAATTCAAAAAACATTCCAGCTTTAAACTCATAAAAAACACTCAAACGTCAATCGCTAGCATGGTTATGCATGTTAAAAAAAACTCTTCGGTGATATTTGCGACGTTGAAATTTGGGAGGCAAAACTCATAGGCGCCTAAACTCATGCACGATATTTAAGTTTTTGAGTTTTTCCGAACACTGCTCATGCATGTTGTGTTACTTTTCCATCCACAATGAATAACGCCAAAATATAAAACAATGCATTTTTGAATCTGCAATCTCATCGGTGATTTTTGCGCAGTTGAATTTAGCAATACAACACTAATAGGCG